GGTGGGCCTTGGCGCTGAAATGACAGAAAGAAACACCTTTTGCTGCAGCTGGTCTGCTGCTGCTGCTGCTGCTGCTGCTGCTGGAAGTGCTGCCGCAGCGTCAGTTGTATAGACAACTGCGGGCCGCCATCAGCAGGGTCTAGGTCAGCAGCATACGAGGCACTGCTTGCTGCAGCAGCAGCAGCAGCAGGAAGCAGCTGCTGCTGCCCTTGTTGCTGCTGCAGCTGCTGCAGCTGTTGCAGCTGATGCAGCTGCTGCAGTTGCTGGAGCAGCTGCTGCTGCTGGTTGCTCTCGATGACTTCGCGGACTGCAAAAGCCACGTAGCGGTCTTCCTTCTGCTGCTGCTGCTGCTGCTCATTCTGCTGCTGTTGCTGCTGCTGCTGCTGCTCTGTTATGACTAGGAAGAGGTCCACCTTCTCCCGAAGGAAGTCAGTGACCTCATCGAGCTGTCCGTACACCGCGGCCCTGTACACATTGTCGTGCTGCTGCTGCTGCTGCTGCTGCTGCTGCTGCTGCAGGAGCTGATAAAGGCGGCAGACAAACGGGGCAGCGTCGCCCAAGTCAGCTGCTGCTGCAGCACCGCTCACATCAGCCACGTAGATCTTGCTGCTGCTGCTGCTGCTGCTGCTGCTGGCAGCGTCTCCGTTGAGAGCAAAGCGCAGCTCGATTGCCACGTAAGGCAGCGCCATCGGAGAAACCCTAAACCCTAAACCCTAAACCCTAAACCCCAGACACTAAACCCTAAACCCTGAGCCATATGTGCCAAATTAACCCGCACCAACATGCTGGCTTTTCTGGGCAACGCCCTAAATTTTAAACCCTAAACCCTAAACCCTAAACCCTAAACCCTAAGCACTAGGTGGCTGTTGGTTCTCGTGTCGGCAGCGGGCAGCAGTAGCAATGGTTTGAAGCTCTAAACCTTAAAAATGAAACCGCCGTTGTTGAAATTAAACCCTAAACCCTAAACCCTAAACCCTAATTGAAGTTTCTCGCTATAGACGGTGACCCCAAAAGGCTGGGGGGCCCCGTCTCGTGTTTGGGGCCTTTAGGGGTCTAGGGTTTCCTAAACCCTAAACCCTAAGCCCTAGCCTGTGACGCTAAACCCTTAAACCCTAATTCATAGGATGCCTAACACTAAACCCTAAACCCTGAGCCCTAAACCCTAAACCCTCCTAAAGAGCCTTCTGAAGACCCTTCTCTGCGCCGCCGACGCTCTCTACTCAAGGCTTCGACCTTGAGCCCTAGGGTTTTGGGTTTAGGGTTTAGGGTTTAGGGTTTACGATTTTTTTCTGGAACTAATTTCAATTTGGCGAACGCCTAAAGAATGTTTCGCAGCTAGAGATGAAAGGCCCTGGGAGGCCACTGAGGCCCCCGCTCAGGCTGCTGCTGTTGCTGCTGCTGCTGCTGCAGCAGCAGCAGAATATCCGGAGTCACTTTGAAGCTACTCCAGGTGCAGCAGCAGCAGCAGCAGCAGTGACACCAAGGGTGCAGCAGCAGAGTCGCTGCTGCAGCACCTTGTTGACGCTAGAGAGGTCACAGAGTGCAGCAGCAGAAGCCGCAAGAGCAGCAGCAGCAAAGTCTGCAGCAGCAGCAGCAGCAAGACCCACAGCAGCAACAGCAGCAGCAGCAGCAAGAGCTGCCTCTAAAACATGCGCCTTTTGCTTCTCCAGGGGCCCTTACTCTCCAGTCGCGTTAAATAAGCCTCGCAGGAGATATGTTGGCAGCCGCAGCAACAGCAGCAGCAGCTGCAGCCTGCCCAGCAGCAGCAGTGGCAGCAGCAGCAACGACAGTCTCTATGACAGCAGCAGCAGCAGCAACAGCAGCAGCAGCAGCAGCAGCAAGCTGAAGTGGACCAGCAAGAGGGTTCGAATGTACGATAGTCTTCTGGAGCCCTATGAGCAGGCAGCTCTCGCAGCAGCAGTTCGCCGCAGCAGCAGCAACAGCAGCAACAGCAGCAGCGACAGCAGCAGCAGCGGCAGCAGCAGCAGTAACAGCAGCAGCAGCAAGGGCTGCTGCGTCACTTTAGAAGGCGCACAGGAGCTGAGAGGAGTTGCAGACGCAGAAGGGCTGCAGCAGTTCGCAAGGGACCTACTAGCCGCTCTCGCGTAAACCCTAAACCCTAAACCCTAAACCCTAAGCTCTAAACCCTAAACCCTAAACCCTAGACTCTAAACAGCGAGTGCCTTTGCCTTGTCCACGAGCCTTTTGCTTCTTTACATGGCTATTGCCGTTTCAGTCGCTGCCACTGTTGCACAGTTGCTGCTCCTTTTGCTGCTGCTGCTGCTGCTGTTGTCGCTACTGCTGTTGCTGCTGCTGCTGTTGCTGCTGCTGCTGCTACCTAGACTCAAGAAGAGCCACGTGAGGGTTTGCTGCGTCAGCGAGAAGCAAATGAGCAAAATCTACAAAGCCTATCACCCCAGCAACAGCAGCAGCAGCTGCAACAGCAGCAGCAGCAGCAGCAGCAGATGCAGCAGCAGCGGCAGCTCCAGCAGCAGCAGCGGTAGCTCCAGCAGCAGCAGCAGCACTATTGGGGCTACAGATGCACTATCGTTTGCTGCTGTCGACCCCTCACGCTACGCTAAAAGGCGGGAGCTGCTGCTTAAGGCAGCAGCAGCAGCAGACGCAGCAGCAGCAGCTGCAGCAGCAGCAGCTGCAGCAGCAACAGGTACAGCAGCAGCCACAAATGCAAAAAGAGCAGCAGCAGCAGCAGCAGCAAAGTCGCAGCTGCTGCTGCAGCAAGAAATTAAGGCTGTACGCCGGCATCGGCGGCAGACCTTCTTAGGGGACATCTTCTTGTGCCCCAGTAAGCCTAAAACTCAAAACCCTAAACCCTAAACCCTAAACCCTAAAATCTAGACTCTGTACCCTAAACCCTACACCCTAGACCCTAGGCGCTAAACTGTCAGTTTCACCAGCAGCTGTGTCTGAAATGGGCTAGTGGAAGTTGCTGCTGCTGTTGCTGCTGTTGGTGATGCTGTGGCTGCTGCTGTTGCTGTTGCTACTGCTGTTGCTATTGCTGCTGCTGCTGCGCCGCAGCTGTGGTGTACAGGCAGCAGTTAGAGGACAGAAAGCAGCTGGAAGCTGCTGCAGCAAAAGATGCCGACCCAGAGCCCCTGCCCACAAAGTAAATCTGCTGCTGCTGCTGCCACTGCTGCTGCTAGTGCTGCTGTTGCTGCTGTTGCTGCTGCTGCTGCTGCCCTCTCTGGTTGGGCTACTGCCGCGGCTGCTGCTACTGCTGCAGCGGGGCTGCTGATGCTGCTGCTGCTGCAGTTGCTGCAGCTGTTGCTGCTGCTGCTGCTGCTGCAGAGGGGTGCTGCGGCGTTTGGTGCACTCGGGCTCTACAGAGGAGCGGCTGCAGCTGCTTTTGGTTCACTCCCTGCTGCACCTCATCGGGTAAACCCTAAACCCTAAACCCTAAGCCCTAAACCCTAAACTCCAAACCCTAGGCCTAAAACAGAGGTCACAAAGGACGTCCGGGCCTTGAGCTTCAATTTTAGAGTTTAGGGTTTAGGGTTTACTCTTCTGAAGTATTGGCTAGGGTTTGGGATTCGAAACTGGGGTTTTCGGAGGGTTTGTGGCTTGTACTTTGCCCCGAACCTAGGGTTTAGGGTTTAGGGTTTAGGGTTTAGGGTTTTGCTGCTCCGCAGATTCGTCCACGAGACGCCGCAGCAGGCAGAACGAATGCGCAGCGTTGAAGAGCTTTTGTGTCTCCTAAACCCCACGCGGCAGCACAAGTGCTAAACCCTAAACCCTAAACCCTAAACCCTAAACCCTAAAATGCAAGACCCAGGAAAGGCAGCCAGCCCATCTGCAAGCCGAGCGCCCGAACCCTAGGGAAAGTGGGGGCAAGCTGTGGGCGGCAGGCTGCTGCTGCTGAGGGTTTAGGGTTTAGGGTTTAGGGTTTGAGTGCAGGCTACATCTAGTAGGTGTCGGTATAGACATTGTCTCCACAGACAGACTGCAGCGGACTCTCTCTCGTTTGCTGTCAGCCGACGCAACAGCAGCAGCAGCAGCAGCAGCAGCAGCAGCAACAGAGGGCCCCGTTGCAGCTGTTGCCGCAGCAGAGGGGGATTCTGCAGATCAAGAGTCTCCCACAGCAGAAAAGGCCCCTGATGCAGCAGCTGCCGCTGCTGCTGCTCCTACTGCGGGAGCTTCTGCTGCTGCTGCTGCTGCTGCTGCTGCTGCTGCACCAGAGTGTTGCTGCAGCTTTATGTGTCGATACACTTCACGGCTGCTGTCTCCTCTCGAAGCTGCGCAGCTGCGGAGGGCCCACAGGGGCCTCTTCACAGTACATTATGCCTTGCTGCAGCAGCAGCAGCAGCAGCTCAGCAGCAGCAGCAGCAGCACAGCAGCAGCAGCAGCAGCGGCTGCTGCTGCGCTGCAAGACGCAAAAGCCATTCGAGCAGCAGCACGCTTCTTGAGCCGCAGATTTGCTGCTAAAGAAGCAGCAGTAAAGGCTCTCGGCGTAGGCCTTAGAGTCCTCAGCCCAGGTAACAGCTCTAACCCTAAACCCTAAACCCTAAACCCTCAGCCTTTAGTGCTAAACAGCAGCGACTCGCCTCGCAGCAAGGCAGGCCGACCCGTGTGGCTTCCCACCGCGCTGCAGCAGCAGCCAGCGCGCTGCTGCTGCTGCTGCTGCAGCTACTGCTGCTGCTATTGCTGCGCTGCTGCTGCCTCTGCTGCTGCTGCTATGCTAATGCGACTGCCGCCGCTGCTACTGCTGCTGCTGCCTCTTCTGCTGCTATTGCTGCGCTGCTGCTGCTGCTGCTGCTGCTTCAGGTGGCATATCACTCAAGGAGATTGAAGTGCAGCACGGAGCAGCAGGGCAGCCGCTGCTGCTGCTGCGGGGCCCTGCTGAGGCCCTTCGGGTGTCTCGGCAGGTCCGCGCTTTGCTGCTGTCTCTTACAGATGACGCCAGCCTAGCAGTGGCCCAAGTCGTGGCTTGCTGCTAAACCCTAAACCCTAAACCCTAAACCCTAGGCAGTAAGGCTTCAGTAGGAACTGCGGACTCTGGGCTGCTGCGAAAGGAGACAACATCATTTAAAGACTTTTGAACTGTTGCGGCGCCCCAGCCAGCCCTTCTGCTGCAGCGGCTGCTGCAGCAGCTGCTGCAGCAACCTTGCAACTGCGGCTGCTGCTGCTGCAGCAGCTGCAGCAGCTGAAGCAAATGCGATTCTCAACACGGCGATAGTCATGCGCTGCGTTAGTGGCACTAGTGACTGCTGAGGCAACAGTCTCCGTCTGCGCTGCTGCTGCTGCTGCTGTTGCTGCTGCTGCTGTTGCTGCTGCTGCTGTTGCTGCTGCTGCTGTTGCTGCTGCTGCTGCTTCGGGCATTGCCGTCGCTGCTGCTGCTGCTTCTATAGAAAAGTGAATAGCCGTAGAACTTCTACGCTTCTTCTGCTGCAGCAGCAGCTGCTGATGGTGCTGCTGCTGCTTTTGCTTCCTGTGGGCTCTCCTCTGCTGCTGCTGCTGACGGAGCAGCAGCTGCTGCTTCGACTGACTCCGGAGTCTCTGGAGCTGTTGGCGCTGCAGCAGCAGCTTCATTGGCCGTGCCTTCAGGAGCTGCCTCGCTGCTGCTGCTGCTGTTGCTGCTGCTGCAGCGGTTCCCCTCGTCTCTGCTGCTGTTCCCGTTGCTGCTGCAATTCTCGCTGCTGCTGCTGCTGCCGTTGCTGCTGCTCAAGGCCTCCTGCAGCTTCTCCTTGAAGGCAGCAACAGTTGGGGAGACGCCCTGCAAAGAAAGCTCGAGAGGGAAACGAGGCGGCTTCCTAGGGTTTAGGGTTTAGGGTTTAGGGTTTCTACGGTCTACGGCTCCACGCATCTAGAGTTTCTGGGAATTAGGGTTTACAGAGAATTTAAAGCTTCTAGGGTTTAGGGCTTTTAGGGTTAAGGGTTTCTAGGGCGCCAGGGTTCCTAGGGTTTAGGGTTTGTCGGGCTTGGGGTTTCTAGGGTTTTGG